ACCTGTTTTCATATAAATCTTCTTTTACATAAGCAAAAATTTGAAGAATGAATACTTGAAAATTTGAAAAATACTAGATATTTGTTATAACTATCCACTTTTATAAAATGAGAAACAGAGAAGATACTAATGATCCATTAGTCTAAGAAAAAAACCCAAGTTTTTAGGAATTATCTTACAGTAAATATATCAATACATGGGATTTAAAACCCCATGATAAAGAAACGTGGGAGAAAAAACCCCATATGACAATTTAAGCAACATATGGGTTTAAAAAACCTACATTGTTTTTCGTGGGGTTATTTCCCCCATGGGGTGAAAAATAAACCCCATGGGGTTTTTGTGGGGTTTTTTGTGGGGTATTTTTAAGTTCATGTTTCCCCATGGGATTTTTGTTTTTGAACTCAAATATCTCAAAAACTAGCAGAAAATGTTGAATTTTTTTTTTCATAAATCAATTTGATTATAAAAACCCCACCATTTAAAAAAAACCCTAAGATGATAGCTTTAAAGGAAAAGGGTGCGCAACTTCGGAAAAATGTCCATTCCGAAGTTGTCCGTCCCACTGTTATGATTTCCTGCTCGTCGATCCCTGCGTGGTATAACTGAGTAGCACATGTCCTCTTGCCCGAGTGGTTGGTAAAGTTTCCCTTCAGTCCTGCTTTTCCTGTAATTTCCTTCATCAGGCCCTTTAGTTTGTTAACTCCCAGCACATGTTCGCCATATCGCACGCATACAGGACCTGCAACAGCTAAGGGACGGCGGTAAAAAAGTCCATCATTATTGAGAGCTTCGAGGTAGGTACGATAGAAATCTGCTAGACACCGTTCACCTGAAAAAAATAAGAAAACTTTAAGATGTACTAAGTTTTCTGTACGCAAAGAATAAATGATCAAATATCGAGAAGCAGTTTTTTTCCCAACTCTGTTTTTCAAAACGGGAATCAAAACTGGCGCCTTGCACATAATCGAGCCGGTAAGGCCTAGCTTACATTCTGTAGAAAATCAATATCTAAGGGGGATAACTCTTAAAACAAAACTTGTCGCTCTATTTCATTTTTTTTTCATCAACAATAGCGATTGCCGGAAAAATAACTAAAAGCTTTGTAGATTTAGTAGAGTACAATTTTAATATAATAATAGAAACAACTTACCTTCTTGGCAGTAATGTTTCAAATCTTTATTGGTAAGCTGCAGATGTTTCAGCCCCCCTTTGTAAGTCTTAGATGATCTGCCCGTAAATCGAATAAATTTTCCTTGCTCGTCTTGCCCAATTTCAAACTGGGAACACTCCAGATTTCTGTGTTCGTCAAAGGCCCTCAAACCGAATATCTTACAGTTATAGAAGAAAACTGTGTACTGTAGAGCTTGAGAAGAGTGTGACCCGAATACTCCATTAGTCCAGATTTTTTCTTCATCGTCCGGCAAAATTGGATCAGCTTGTTTCACTTTGGTGCCTAAGCCTTTTGATAACAATTCCTTCATACGGGCGTCCAGAACTTTACGAAAAACGGCAAAACGGTGATCATGTTCATCAAGAAAATTCATGTCATGGACGTTTTCCTCTCGCAAATGACGCAGTAATCCACAAACAATGAAGTAGAGAGTACGCGGGGGATATTCACTGCCGTCCTGTTTACGTACCTCCAACACAAAGCGTTGTAACCAGTAATTCAGCATTTCTGCATTCATTTCTTTCATGTAAGGTACATTATCTCGAGATGCGCGCCATTTATTAAACATTTCAACACACCATTTCGTATTTCTCCGCGTATTAGGATTTGTCTGAGAGTCAATCAGCTGCCGCAAATCATCATCCGACACAGCTTCAGCGAACCTTCTATTCTGTGATTCGTTGGGTCCAACACATTCAAAAGTTTCCATTTTCATGTCACCATCATTTTGATCTATTGAATTCTCCCGCGAGAAAATACCTAAGTCAAAATTTATAGTCTGAAAATCCATAGGTGTAGAATCTTCTTCCTTGAGGTACCCATCGTTTAATTGTGAAATGTTTAGGTTTCCTAACTGGCCTACAGAATTTTCAATTTTGATTTCCGTTTCTACCGTATCTAAAAATTGGGATAACAAAAAATCGCAGCCGTCATCCATGGCTGTCGATATAAAAATATTCGAGAAAAACAACGCCCTATACTGGTGTCACAGAGCAATAGCCCGATATTTGTTAATTAATTGTAAATGAGTATGAGTGAGTGTTAGGTTGCAGGTGCGCGGCGCAGGCGTTGTAGCCCTGTATCCCAGGAGTATAATTTCAGCTAGTTAGAGAGAAAGAGGGTGAGCAAGCGAGGATTTATAATTTGTTTGTTTGTCATTTCTTTATCGTTGTTTATTGTGCGTGATAGAGTTCTGAGGGATGAAAGTGAGTATTAAGTTGATTTGTGTGAGACAGTGGGGGATGAAGGTGATATCGATAGATCATGGTTATACTCAGTGCGTGAGAACAATGATACAAATCATATAGAGTACCTTTTAACTCGTGCATCTTCAGATATCAGACTCGGGGGGCAAGCCCCCTCGTCTGATATCTGAAGATACACTCGTTAAAAGGTACTCTATATATTACTTGTTTTTTAAAAAAAGCTGTCATTTATACATATACTGTGATACATTTAGATTTTTACATTTTTTGGTTTCTTGATTTATAAAGGGAGCAAAAATTTGATGTATACTTTTTATTTGAAAGATTTTATTTAAATAGTCTATTGGAGTTTTTCGAGGATATTATTTATTTGTTTTTAAGACTACCAGCAATCTATGATCATGAGTCAGATGATGTCTGCCGAGGACTTTGATGCTAAGGCAGACAATATTCTGTCTCGTGTAAAATATGGATTGGACCAGTGGAGCGGATCAGGAGACAATCACAATACAGGGACCTCAGACCTATCTAGTCATTACTGTCCAGTCTGTAGAAATATAATGGTTAGTATATGTGTACATATAGTAAGTTCACAGTGTTGCATTTTTTAAAAAGAAAAAAATTCTAAAAATGGATGAAATAATTTAACTTATTTACATTGGAAGTAGACTTAATTTTCTGAGTTTTATATATATTGGTACTTAAAGAAGTGTAAGAAAAATGGATCTAATTATTCTAGTTTATTCTGAGAATTCTGTATAATTTTTTTTCAGAAGGGAGACCAGCATTGCCCCCTGATCTATGTTCCTTGTGGTCACAATACTTGTGTTTCCTGTTCCAAAGGGAGACAAATCTGTCCTTGTTGTGGTTCTCAGGCCTCCTCTAAAACAAGGAACATCATGCTCATGCAAATAATAGAGGTAAAGGGCGGAGTCTTGTTAGATTATTGTGATTAATTATGTTGGAGAAATTGGGATGTGATAAGAATCTTCAGAAGTATGTCACGAATATAAAACAAATATAGATATGTAGAATTCATTTTAAAAAAAGGCTTTGATTCATGAATATTGATAGATTATTGTCATTTGGTCTGTAAGTTTAGATAATACTGTATAAGTACCTTTTTTTCCTTCTGGGTTAAAGCTGAGGAATCCCTGTTGTTTTCTTCATTTACAAAATTCCTTAGATTACCACTAAATGCCTGAAATGCAGTTGACCTATACTGGAACAGATTTCACAGAAACTCAATTACAACATGCATGACATAAAAAAGTACCACACAGAAAGTTATAGATCTGCAGTATTTTGCAGATACTTTTGTAGTCATTATGATCATACTTACTGTCAAAACTAAATAAATGTACTGAAGACCAGCCTAACTGATAGCTGAGTTTGTCATGTACATGTATTGATAGCATATAAAACAGTCGTGTTGTTTATTGAATTATTCTTCAAGTTATGTTGAATGTATGTACCTGTACATTTAATAATAATATACTTTCCCAGTGGAATTCAGTTATCACTTGAAGGTTCTACTTATTTTTCAGGAATATCACAAAAACAAGCAAAAACTCAAAGAGGAACAAAATGGCAACTTTGATAGCAATGCCAATAGTTCACATAACATTGAAACAGCTCCCAGAAGAAAAAGTGTGTAGACTTTTGTTTAAATTTTTCAAAATTTAAATATAAAGTGGAAATACGGTATAGCGGGTTATTTTGTCGTGGTGCTAATTTTGACTTATTTTGGCATTTTGACGGAAGACAGCTAAAGCTTAAATCACTAAATATTTAGCACTGGTCTTAGTGTTCATTTGCAAAGAGCTTAAACCCTGTCTTTGTGTTCATTTGCAAAGAGCTTAAACCCTGTGTACGCTAAAATAAATTACGCCAAAATTATTAGTATACCTTTGAAGTTTGAGCAGGCCAAATGCCAAATTTTTCACCCGCCAAGAAAACCCACTATACGGTTGGTAACCCTTAAATTTTGATCATTTATAAAAGATGGGCATCTTGCTTAATTCAAATAACCTAAATATTATCCGTTTAAACTCGTAATTTAAAACATACATGTACAAGCTTTGAATCAAGCATTTTTGTCTATTTTTTTAATACCCTTAGGAGGAATCAACAAAACAAAGTACAGAGAAGAATATGAAAATCTGAAAATGAGACAAGAAGTTCTTAAAGTAGAAATCAAAGATATACAAGGTCAAATAAACTCTTATGTGAAGGAAATTTCAGCTGGAGAAAAACAGGTGTCAAGTGTTAAGAGGGAAGAGGAAAAAGTAATAGGTCAAATACAAGCTCTGCAGGAAAAGCTCAGAGCCTTAGAACAGCACAGGGCTCAATATGAGACAGATTGTGAGTGCACTCGGCAAGCTCAGAAAGAGGCTCGGGAGAAACTACATCAAACTCAGGACATTTTATTGACAGTTGAAATACAGATGGAAAAAGTGAGTCTTCTGATAAAAAATTAATCACTAAATTTATCAATTAATCAATGATCAACATGTTTAAACTTATCAATAATTCAAGTTTTTTTTTGTTTATAAACACATCTAAATTGAAATTCTTAAAAAATATTCAGAATACTGATGGAAAATATATATTGTTTTTTACAGAAGATAGCAAATAAGAGTCAAAATATTTTTTGAAATCTAAAGATTTCTTGTCATAAATATATTTGGATATGCTGATGTAATAAAGGTGAATATCTTATACTTTTGTTTACAGCAGTTTTCAAAACATTTGTGAACAACATGAATTTCGAATAATACACACATATTTCTAATAACATCATATTCATCACACAGAGTTAAAAAGTCTGTATTTCAAACTTACCTAGAATAAAGTTAATAAATATTAAATTGTGAGAGACAAAGGATATTTATTATATTATTTTTTTATTTCAGGCAAGATTATTGGCAGAGCAGTAAACTGAAAATGGAGGATTACTTGTGAATTTGAAAGTAACCAGTTTCTTCAGATTTCTGTATAGTTTTGACAGTCCTGTTGTGCCCTAAAGATTATTGTATCAAAGGAAAACATACAGCTCCAGCTGTAATTCTTAGTAAAAATCTCTGGAAAAAGGGCATTTACTCCCTCCATTTTCATTATACAATGTAGACAAGAATGTAGACCAACATCTTTGAATGAAAATGAAGAAGAGATTCACAACTGGATACAGATGAATTTTCAATTTGATCTGCATCTAAAGCTGTAAACTCATATTGTGAGAATGTATAAGTACATGTACAAGCCATTTATAAATCAGCCAAAAATATACCTTTGTTATTCTCATGATGTGTTGTTACTGTTTTTAGATCTATTTTTATTTATTCATTCTATCTATTAATTTCAATTAATGATTTTTAAAAGGTAAAAATAGCGATATATATTTTTTGTTTGACAAACTTCTCAGATGAAAAGTAATTTAAATTGAAAAGAATTCTTTAATTGACTTTTCGTATATTCCACGTAATGTCACGCAGTAATAATAAGATTGTATACTTTATAGCTTTATTTATTATGAAATGCAAGTACACTGTATGTACAATGTACCAAAATATTTTTATAATCATTAAATTTGCCTAAATTGTTTAAAAGCAAGTTGATGTAAAAAATTTTCTTTGATTGGATATGCAAAAAGTATTAATTAAGAATCTTCAAGTGGTCTAGTTTCAATTCTTTCTAAGATTGGCCCATAAAAGATTTAAGACACCTGAACTTACATTTACATGGTTTGTATTTTTAAGGTATTTTCAAATATCAAAAAAGAATTCCTTATTTAAAAATGTTCGAAATAGGAGAGGATTTTTTTATGAAAGAGATGATCATATTTGGATATCGAAACATCAGTTTTTGTTTTACATACATGTAAGATTTAATATATAATTCTGATATCAGATAAAAATTCTTCATGTTATCTTTTCCTATCATAAACTCAAGTTTTGATGTCAGAAAATGCTAAGTTTAAATGAATTTATGATTAAATAATGATTCCGTGAAAAAAAATTAACGAGCTATATCTAATTCGCTTATTAAATGATAATAATAATAAAAAAACATAAAAGTTAAAACCCTTGCACATGTAGGTTGTTATTTTCGTCCAAAGTTAGTTAAAACTACTTTGGCAAATGGAGCAAGAAATATACCAATATATAAAACAAACATGTAGCTAAGATTTTTTTAAAATTGAAAATAATGCAAAATAATCTACAATCATTTTCAGTATAAGCACACATATTAGCTGCCAAAGGTAAAAAAAAAGACAACATTGTTTAATGGTATTTAGCGCACTATCTGCAACTTTGAACAAAAATATGAACTTCATTGAAAAAAAACCCGTTTGAGTTGAATTTTCTTTCCTATTTTTTGTTTTAGTATAAAATTACTATTTCTACGTGTAGTACCTTTAGTTTTATCAGCAAGAAAGAAAGATATTTCCCGCTTAATTAATGGATAGCCAATTCGTTATAATACCTGGCATCAAGAATACAGGTGAATTTCTGATATCAGAATAAGTTTTTATCTTTTCTTTACATTAAAATATTTCTTCTGATATAAGTTGATATGTTTGGTTATTAAAAAATAAACATTTATTTTTTTAAACCAGAAGTTCTGACTTCAGAAAATAGCTGTACTTTTTCTGATTAAATATTTTTGCTATGAAAAAAAACTTTCGAGAATTTAAGAAGGCCCTAATTTTTAATGGCGCCTTCAAATAAAATGTTATTTACAATTATTTATGAAGAAGTATACTGGTAATTATAATAATTTATATTTTTCTTTTTAAGTAGTACATTTCCCCTCCAAACAAAACACGTTTTATAATATGTATATATATAAGGTTTGATTGAAAATAATTAATTCTGCTTCAGTTACAATTGTAACTGTCATTATAATAATTTATGATTCCAGTAATAAATAGACATTAACTGTTAACACGATGCTTTACATTCCCTCGGTCATGAAGACGTACTTAATTGTCGTCAAGATGAATACATTATACATATATAAAGTAAACAATGATCATGTCAATTAAAAGTAAGACGTCACCTGAAGCTGTGGTTTTTACAACTAAGAATCTAATAAGGACACATATTTCACTGAATATGATGTCAAAAAGTTTAAAAGTATTTATGGCGTTTTAATTTCACGGTCCGAAGGTTTGAAAGTTCCAAAATGGAATCTCTGTGGTTGTCGTCGAGGGAGGTTTATTCCCAAAATTCGAGACGCTCTGTTTTGGTCCAGTTCCTGGCACATTGACCGCCAACCGGTAATTTGAGGGACCAAGCACTACATCTAAAGGTGACTGGTCCTGCAGCTTGCCACTTCCGGCCATGTCATTGGGTCCCTTGCACCAGTTAAATGGACACATTTTACACTCGCCCCTTAATGATGATACCGAGAGCGTCTCTATACAACTAGGCTGCACTTTGCTGAAGTCCGGACAACTAGAAGGGTCTATCCAAGAACAATACGGTAACTCTTCCACAGGTTTAGGGGTTCCTTCTGATTTTACGACAACCGTAACCTCGGAATTAGATAATGGATTTTCGGTGAATTTCTTTTGAATCGGAACTGATTTTGTTGGAATTATCTGAAATTTACCATGCTTTGGTACTTTTTGTCCAATGAGAGTAATTTCTAGCTCGTTACCTTTCACTTTCTGTGTCGTACTTTGAGGTGGCATGTGCCATTTTGACGATATTTGACTATTTCTTGGTATCAATTTTGTAAACTGAATATTCTTTGTTGGACTTCTGTCTTTAAAGGTTCTATCTTGTACTGATAGGGTTTTATCATCATGCATGGGGAGTTTGCTGTTGCCTCCTATTTTGGGGGGTAATTGCACCCAGGTTGACTGAACTACTTGGGAAGTTTTGGTCCTGACAGTTTGTTTTGTGAGAATCACTTGATCTTGGATTCTAGGCCTTTGTGTAACTTGTTTAAAATTCTTGAACGGTTTGGTCTTTATAGCCTCTGGTAGTTCAATTCTGCTTTGACTTGTCTTTTCTTTGGGACGTTCAACCGCTCTATTTAAAAGTTTTATTCCAGAAAATGAAACCGGTGAACTTCCAAAGTTTGTCCTTGAAACTTTTTTGAAGTTGAATTCGGGTAATAAAGCCGATCTTGCCTCAGCTGCAATAAATTCAAATGAATTTAAAATTTGTACATACAAGTCAAGGTTCCAGTTCCTGCCTGTTATAGAACATATGCTACATGAAGCTACATTTTGTATTACTAGCATACTAATTGTATGATTCGTCTAGAAATTTTTGTCAACAATTGTGTATTGTGTACAGCGTACCTTAAGAGACAATTGAATGACATATGGGATTCTTCATAGGTTGAAAAAAAAATAGGTAAAAAACATCTACGTTTCTAAGATTCATAAACAGTTTTAAGCGGTGTTAATTCTGCCTGTGAAATCATATTTTATCAATAACTTTATAAAAATCTGGACCTTTATGTAGATGTGGGGAGGGGGGATTTAACTTGTTTTCGTAAATTTTGACCTGCCGAAAAAAAAATTTACCTCTCTACTGCTGTTTATTTATTTAGATAACAAATAATAGAGCTTTTCATAGGCCTACTAAACATCAATAAGCTCCACTCTTGTTACAAACCACTGATTGATAAAAACAAATAAAAAATTAAAAGTGAAACAGTTTAAATATCCTGAAAAACTGGGAAAAAAATTACACAATGGCTAAAAAAAAGTTTGGGTCGGGTGCATTTTCAGTGGGTCGGTAGGTAACTGCAAACAATTTTTTTTACTTTAGGCCTTATCTTAAAATGCCTGCTATATGATATTTCCTTATAAATTGAATCTGAAATCGGTCAGTTTGAATAATTGGTTTCTTATTTGTTTCATACACGTGTATCAAAAATAAATCTAGATCAAAAGTTTATCTTACATCGTATAGCTTACCTCTATAAAAGAACATCCAGCACACTATTATGATATATCCAAATCTCATTTTTGAAACGAAAAAATAACAAACCGTGCTTCCATTTGTAACATTAACAAGTGTTTTTGTGTAGATCTTACATGTAGATAAGTTATTTGTTTCGTGATGTTTATTAGAATATTTTCACTTTATTACAATGTAGCACAGCCCCAGGCTAAAGAAATGAAAGATGCATGATTTATAGACCTGAGAAGTTAGAAGAATTAAGGTTGATAAATTAGACATATCTGGGCGTTTAAATACGTCAAATACGATTTGAAGGACATGAGTAGCATGTACTACATGAGAATGGTGAACAGTTATGAAGAAGAGAAATTCAATTTATATAATTTCTTAATAAGATAATTGTGTTCTCTTTGAATAGAGAGATTCCTTGTAACAACAGGGGTATTCAAAGTATTCATTATTATTAAAACTTTCTACTTTGGATTAGTTATCCTTGTCCATCAGTCTATCTGTCACTTGTTCTTTTTCTTGTAATGTCTCTTACCATTTAACAAAACACCGATTAATGTTTTGGAATTCTCAGTTTGATACACGTAGGTGGTTCATTTAGATCTATATGAAATAGTCTCAACATTTTTTTTAATTTTAGGGATCCGAGTGGGAGTTGAAAACATTTTTTCCCTAAAAGGCTTGGTCCCAGGATCATGAAACAGAATTGGACTTAAGTTAATTTTTAAATAGCTCGTAAATTGTTTATTGATTATTGAATTAATCTCTTAATTTGCAAATAACAACACCTTTGGAAAACAATGTGGGGTAATATTTTGATTTAGGGGTGCTTGACTTCTACAATATTTAAATGCAATGTAAAGATTTTGACTTATGCTTAAGATGTTTCATGATCCCAAGGCCTGGTCCCAGACACTTCTCTCACACTTTATACGGTGGCAAATAATCTTCTGCAGGTTGATTAATGACGTCTAGTAAATTTGAGGCTTTCTTTTTTATGCTCACCATAGGAGCCAGACTGGGGTTGAAAAAGACGTACGTTTGACCTATTTCCAAATCTCACAGTACATTTTACCCATTAGCCAATTCAATTTATATTTCTCAGGAAGTCGAATCGGGGTTCGAAAAGCAAAGCTTTTTTTAAGAAAGAAAAATAATATTTACTTGGTTTACTGAAGTCCATTTATACACACAGTACTTATCCATTATTTTGCAAAATGATTTCTGGTGTTCTGCAGATGTGGAAAAAAGCTTTTGAAATTTAAATTGTCACATTTAAGGCTAAATGAGTGTCGAAAATTTTTATTCTAATTTTCTAATTAAGTTATAATATCGGCTGATATTTTCTATTTATTCTCTGAAGAAAACAGGTGTCCTGCAGATTTGCAATGAGCTTTTGAAAAAAAAACTTTCACCTATGGGACCGAATGGAAGTCAAAAATTGATGCTGTAAATTGGGCTTTTTTTCTCTCTCTAAAAAAAAAATATTTCTGAAACCCGCTTTAATAAATCAGAACAAATTTCTAAACATTTATTTTGTTTCAGATTCGAGCTCATCAATAAATAAGACACTCCTCTCAGATTTCGGCGTGGTTGGTACTAATTCCTGCAATTTTAATCGTTTTGTGCAACATTTAACCTTGAATGGAATTTAAAAAAAACACCATGTATATCCCAACATGCGGGGTGTATGCTATGTTGTGCGCGGGGTGTATGCTTCCGAAGCGAGAGAAAGGGGTCAATGTACGTTCTTTGTCCATTTTCTCAATTTACCAATATTTTTCGCCAGAAAGCATATGCCTACGGAAGAAAACATTATCTAAGGAGTATATGGATACCTATAAATCCACTGGACACCTTCTTGTTTTATCAAACACCTCAACACATTTCCGAGGATCGGAGCAAGATTGACGCTACCCTGTGTTTATGATCGAATATCAGAACAAAGCTTTGCTTTATCGTCATTTTTAAGTTATTGTTAAATACATGTTTACAATATAAACGTTTGTACAAATTGTCTGTAAATTAAACAGTTCGTATATAAAGATATTGACGAAAAATCAATGTTGTGTTTGGGGTGTATGCAACATGTTGTGCGCGGGGTGTATACCCCTCTTTTTACTCTATAGTATCATTGTCTGAAATGTCATTAAAAAATTCTTAACAACTGACTTTTGTGATAAAATTTCTATTTTTTTTTTCTTAATTATTCACCAGTTTTGTAATAGCACAACTTCAGGTTCATGAATTCGATTTACTGGAAATAATACGTTCATCGTACTTTTGGCTTTACATGCACATGGAAGTAAATGTACAAGGTACTTTGTTTAACTGTTTAATGTGATAACCAGCAATTCATCCCTCCTTTCGATTTAATCATTTTGAACATTTCACATTTCCTCATAATTTCTGTTTAACTTTTTTTCAATATTTTTTAAATGAGCTTTAAAATATTTAGATTTTTGTAATGTCATCAACACCAAAAAAAGAAAATGTTCTCCTTCATGTAGTATGCGTAATAGTAATACGTAATAGTTTACGTTGTGCACTTTGGCCCCATAAGCCCATATTTGGCAGTAAACTATTTGTATAATATTGAGGCATTGTATTGTACTGAGTACATATTTTCTAGGAATGGGCCCGAGAAGGGTGTGTTTGTGTCTTAGGTCATTTTTTTGGGGGGGGGGGTATCTTTACTACGTGTATAAAGATACAATAATAAAATAAAGGAGGAGTGGAAATTCTTTGATATTAATTACACGTCAACGTGAAATTGCAATTGTACCAAAAAGAGTTTTTTTTTCAATTATGCATGCCCTCAGAAAATTGTCGTCCCTTATTACAAATGTGCATTTTTATAGCCGACTTTATATGTTTATTGCAATTTGTAAAATACGAAATCTTATCAGATAAGGAAAAATGAGTCCAAATATTGCAAAAATTGAAAGGAAAATTAATATGTCATACAGACACGTAATATCAACCCCCTTTTTGTTCCAGACACAACTTTTCACTACAGAAAATGTTCATCGAAAGTCAGGTTGTCCCCTATTTTTTGTTGCAGCATAACCATGCAATGGTTCTGCTTTATGTAATAAGTAAAAAACAAAGAGAAAATTGGTACTGAAAAAAGACGGGACCTACAACTCCATCTGATCTAGGAGTTTTGAGTTCGATAAGCCCTCCCCCCCCTTTTTTATAGCTAGTCCACTTATCTCATGGTTGTTTTTTTTTCGGGTATCCCCCCTTCAAAAAGGATTCTACATCACTGTCATAAATGCTTAAAAATACATGTATTGATAAGATAAATGTTGCAGAAACAAAAATAAAAAGATTTATTCATAATACACCATTCATGTAGTGTTTTTATTATTTTTAACAAGCCAGATTAAAACGAGCCGAAGAAAGGGCAAAGTGTCTTCAATGCAGGGATTGGGGAAGGGGGGAGGGGGGCTTTGGAGAGATTTTTTAGACCATTGCGCCATCTACAATGTAGATAACAATCGCTCCTTGTACATCTAGCGTCTTTTATGCTTGAATAATATGATAGTTTGTTTTTAATTCTTTTTTAAATTTAGTTAATTTGTTTTTTACTTCAGTACGTTTATGGAAATTACTTTTTGGTTCGGCATTAGTATTCAGATCTTTTATCAACACTATTTGTCGCTTTTAAACCTGTGTAAATAAAACTCCCATTCACACTTCGCACAACAATCCTAAGAAAAATATGGGGTGTATACACCCCGCGTACAACATGTTGCATACACCCCGGACACAACATTGATTTTTCGTCAATATCTTTATATACGAACTGTTTAATTTACAGACACTTTGTACAAACGTTAATATTGTAAACATGTATTTAACAATAATATAAAAGTGACGATAAAGCAAAGCTTTGTTCTGATATTCGATCATAAACACAATGTAGCGTCAATCTTGCTCCGATCCTCGGAATTGTGTTGAGGTGTTTGATGAAACTAGAAGGTGTCCAGTGGATTCATAGGTATCCATATACTCCTTAGCTAATGTTTTCTTCCGTAGGCATATGCTTTCTGGCGAAAAATATTGGTAAATTGAGAAAATGGACAAAGAACGTACATTGACCCCCTTTCTCTCGCTTCGGAAGCATACACCCCGCGCACAACATAGCATACACCCCGCATGTTGGGATATACATGGTGAAACATGATGCGATAATTTTTCGTAGTCTATAAATTACTAATGATTTGATATTTGCTGTCGATTGTATCCCCACTGTAAGGATTTAAATATCAGTTAAGCAATTAATATTACAGAGCGGCAGCATACCTCAAATTCAATATTGATGCTTTGATGAAAGATATTTCATCTCAAGTTTCCAATTCAAATGCTGTTTATTTTTTTGTTTTATCCACCCGTTTTGATGGCAGAGCAGTTTAGAGCATTTGTACATATGTTTTAAATCTTTTGGTGTTTGGGGGGAGGGGGGGTGTTTTACGGGGGACTTTATGTAATACATGTACAGCACACTGTACCTTATGAAAGATTACAGGGTTTGAATTCTTATTGGGGTCAGATTGTGAAATATTCTGCCTAGTAAGATAGAGAAACTCTGTAATTGAGTTTCATTTTTCTGACCCCAATATGTTATCTGTGTTTTACTTCTTTCGTCCTTCACTTTAATTAATCACATATTTAACTTCTACATGATGTTATTTGTTTTTTCTTGGTTTTAACAAAAAAAAACTCATCCGTTTGGCAGGATAACTGAGGAACATAAAAGGCGTCTTGTTGAAAAAAGCAAATATGGAAGTGGTAGAGAAAAAACCAGATCGTTGTAGACG